TTAGCTTCGAAATTCGCACCCCCAGAATTGGCAAGCGTGCGCATCCCAGTAACCCGGCAGGAGAGCGTTGAGCTGCTGCTGGAAGCCAGACTGCGTTGATGCCTTTCGTAGGAGAAACCTTGTTGACAATGAGTGAGACAGAAATGGTTTGGACAAGGTCACCACCAAGAAGATTAGGATCGGAGAAAAGTAGCAGGGAAGGTAAACAACAACTGAGTGCAATTCAGGCGTAAGAAGCCTGATCTGGTGCGCTGTCAACTTCTTCTGATTGCAAGTGCAGCCTGGCCCGATGACCAGCTCCACGGTCCAATTCCGCAGCCAACGCATATCGAGATTGACCTTATGAGAAATAATGGATGCTGCTAATTGCTAGGCATGAAGAATAGTGGTGAGCAAAGCCAGCAAACATGTGCGATGTGAGTACTAGCAGCAGAACAAGAATTTGTGAATACAACAACTACAGTAATTGGCTTCCCAGCCTGGTAGTCGGCGAAGCGTGATGGCATCAACCACTGTTGCTCTTTTCCGCTCTCAACAGCTTTGATACACTGACGCAATCTGCTCAGCGCGCGAGTCAGAAAGGTAGTCGTGCTGATGCCACGACCTTGTGTCCTGTCGAAAGGGATTAGCAACATACGCAGAGAAGCTTGACAAATAAAATCGGTACAGCTGTTGGAGCAAATGGTGCGAACCGACCCGGATAGCCAAAGGAAGAATTGCATTCTCGGAAAGAAGGATCAGGGGCCTGTAACAAGAAGGCTGTCCGCGCGTGCGGATCATCTGTGTCACGGCTTTGGCAAGAAAGGTCCGGTTGGACCATGTGATTTGATCTCCAAGGCACTGCTCGAGCAGGCGCCAACGTTCCTGGAGACAAGGAAATGGGGAGTGCTCGTGTTTAGTCAAGTTGGTTTAGACTCGAAGTCATGTTCGTCTGGGTATCGCATGTGGCAGTATCCTTTTTTATTGGGTTGTATGTCACTGGTCGTTTCTTCCAACTCGCATGGGTTCTTTTCATTCAAATGTGTTTCTCTCTAAGCTCTGGTGGTCGTGTTGACTCCAAAGAACCGCTTCGCAATTGCCATATTTCTCTCCCACCTTTTGGACCATTATCACGTACACCGCCGTCAGATTTAGAGTGTCAAAGAACCTTTTCTGTTTAGTATCTTTACGTTTGTAATCATCCAACGTTCGCGGATACACACAATTCAGCAGCACAGCTGTCGCCTCATCACCACAAATGGCTCGCACGACCCAAACCAAGAGGAACTGTGATTTCCGCTCCAGGTTTCTGGCGCGTAGCAAGAGTCGCCGTGAGGTTCGATCGGTTTCTCGGATCACCTGGTGCGAATGGTGTCCCGACAGTGGCCAAACAGATTATTGTCTGTCTGTCTGTCTGTCTTGAACTCTGCAGTAAGCAAACAAACCAAGTCACATTGCAGAGTTTCTGACGAAGCCATCCGTGATGCTCAGCCGGAATCCCCGTCATCGGTGCTTTGCTCACCTGATTGTGCTGGTAGCATGGATTATCCATCGCTAGAGATGTCCGAAAAGAAGAGGGTTCTTGGCAAAGATTAAATTCTGCAAAAGAGAAGCTTTTGGCGCGACTGTTTTTGTTGCTCAATCATAGATGTAGGAGATGCCGAAGGAGAAACCTTCTGTATGAGCAGCAAGACTATGCTTCGTAGCCCCTTGTGTTAAAGATGGTGCAAATAATAGATCCAAGACAGCTGGTTGTTGAGTTATTGGCACTGAGCCAAGGAACCAGCAAATTCTGCAAAACTCTGGTACGCCATTGCGCCGTTTCGTAGTACCTGGTATTGTCTGATTGGTGTGACTGGCTCACTTCGACACATCATCCGGTTCAGGAAGTCATGAACATAAAAGATAGAAGCTCGGATATGGTGAGCTTGATAGACCACAATCTGTATGCCTGCCTGTTGACAAAGGCGGTCCCAATGGACTTGAAGTTGCGACCAGCTGGTAGCCGCTCCCGTGCTCTAGCTAGCGCGGCAGCATTTTCGCGTTGGAGTCGCCAAGAAAAGCCTCGACGGCATAAGACGCGCTTTGCCAGCTGGCCTGGCAAGATAGTGATTTTGTGCAGATGGCTGTGGCGAAGTTGAGATGGACAAGTCCAAGCAATGAAGAGACTTCAAAGCAGCACCTGAGTGTGTCGCCGTCGCAATCGCACGGACCAGCGATCGCTGCTTTTGGGTCACTCGTGTGCGCCGCAGGCGCTGGCGAGCACGTGCACGGCGCTGGTTCCATGCTTTCGACATGGCAGGTTGCAGAATCAATGTGAGGTGAGCATGGTAGATAGAGTGCGTGTCACTACAGGTTTAGCAGCAGAAATTGGAGCATTGTTCGGACTAGGTCGAACACAACGTCCCATGGCTATAAGAAGTGTCTTCACTGTATGTATTCAATGAGTCTATCACAGTGAAGAGTATCGATTTGTCGTAGCTCTGTCTGTTGCTTGCTACTGAAACATTGATTAGATTCGGCCCCTTCATAAGGTGTGCAAGAGATGCATCGAACGTAGAACGTAGCAGAAAGGTATATCAAAAACATTGTGAAACAGTAGATTTGATGTCACATCACAGACTATCTGTGATATGAACAATGACAATACCAATTTGAGTACATGCTACGGGTTCTGCAGCGCTTGTGATAGAGATGGTACAGCAACTGTACACTCGTGCCGCGCCTTCTGTATCCAGCTCAATAGGGTTGATTGTAGCCTAGCAAGGAGAGAATGTACAGATGCATGTGGAAGTAGAATCTGATGAGTCAGAGCTTTCTACCATACCTCTTGAAATTGATTCCTGCAAAGCTGCTTCTTGGCTCGACACGCTGCTTCTATCATATCTCTTAACGTTTGATTTTTGTAAAGCTGCTTTCTGGCTTGAAAGGGCCGTTTTGGGAACGAAATTTTCTTTGTGTATATAGTTTCCTTCTAGCATACCTCTTGAAATTTGATTTTGTGTTCCTTCGCCTTTCTTGTACTTAACCACCAGCTGTTGAGCTGCTAAATGTTGCTTCAAAAGTCTTGTAGCAAGCCCCGTCCAACATTTTGCACCTCTTTGCGCTAGACTTGGGGATAACAAGCCTTGAAACGATATCGCGCTTTATCTCTCTGGGAAAACCTAGAAAACATTTCAAGACGTATGGCGCTGCTGATCAGATTGGTCTTCACGTCCCATATGGTTGCGTCTGTCCTGCCTACCAGCTTTGCGTCACTACAGCAGCAAATGTTCACTGATATAGAAAAGAACAACGATACTAATATATTTTGCGCCCGCCCTCGCGCTTTCCTGTGCCTCCCAGGCAAAACGTACCACCAATGTCTATAAAACTCTTGTGCGGGCGTTTTGATCGTCACTCGTATATATATATATGTATATATATCATATATGTATATATATATAGAGTCCTGCCTGCCAGCTTTGAATCGCTACAGCAGCAAATGTGCACTGATATAGAAAAGAACAACGATATTAATATATTTTGCGCCCGCCCTCGCGATTTCCTGTGCCTCTCAAGCAAAACGTACCACAAATGTCCATAAAACTCCTGTGCGAGCGTTTTGATCGTCACATATATATATGTATATATATATATATACGTATAGATCGCTGCAGCATAACTAGGACAGTTGACCGGAACTTGCTTTCAATGGGATTCGACGGGGCTCTACTTTTCCATCGATTGGTCACTCACTCTGTGTATATATATATACATACTTAGAGCAGAATTATATGGATCAGGGAACGTAGTATCACATCATCCAGCCAGCAAAGCAAGTGGCAAGTTTGCAGTTTGCATAATATGTGCAACACGCTGCAATGTTGCACATTATGTGCTATTGTCTTAATCAGATTGCTTGAGAAACCCAAAGTCTTTTCAAGGTGTAAGCTACGATACAAGCGGAACAGAATAAAGCAAAGGAAAATGAAAAGCAAAGAAACATGAAGCAAAGAAGTACGGGAGCAAGACGCCGAGCAGGAAGAGCAAAGAAGCAGGAAAGTAAAGAAGCACTGTAAACAGAGTAGAACTAGTAACCCAAACCGAGATCGAAGTTTGCTACACAAAAAAAGGATGAATAGCCTTTCTTAACTATCTTATTGATTGGCGATACTGTCCTCGGGGCCTCACCAGTTTTGGGGCAAGACTCTCGGGCATCTATGTTGTGACAGTGGGTCAATTTGGATCAACTGCATCATTCTTCCTGAAGATGCGATGTTTACACTCCTAAATGCAAGGCGGAACCTAAACAGTGGGTACGATCAAACGATCCGAACACTGTTGCCTTGCAATCGCCAAAGCTGACATAGCTTGGCTAGAAGAATTTCCATGTTTATCTCTTACAAGCAAGTTATGAGGCAAGCTACTGAGACTTCTGAAGCCGCCTTTGCTTCCAGTGCCTTTTGCGCGTGGCTATCAGCCAGAGCAACCTGGGCATCAAAGGTTGTCAGCTTCATCGGACACAATGGTGGGCACATACACTGCAGTTTTGGATGGGGCTTGATCCTTTGAGTTCACAAAAGGGAAGTTAAACGCGATCCCATTCGACTAGTTGTCGTACGTTACACTGTGTTTTTGGGGCTTCGAATCGCATGTTGCTATGTTTGCAAAAGATCTGCAGGATTTGGCCTGTGTATAGTGGACTGCATCCAACATAACTGTCATAACTGCTTTTTTATGTCACCTTTGTCTCAGATGATCTCAGACGATATTAGAACCTTGTCAGTTTTTATCTGGGTTTTTTGCATCTCCTAGAATTTCTTGCTGAATTCCTCCAGTCTTCTCTTGAACACCTAGCACTGTATAATGACTGCAGAGCATGCAGAGAGAAGATGACTCAGGAAAGCTGCGGGTGACTCAACAAATCAAGGTGCCTCGTTGAATTCTCGCAAGGTGCTCAATTCTTTCTCCTCGCAAAAAAATGAAAGAAAGGAACTCTATACAGACTGCACAGCAGTGTTGCAACAATAACCCAAGTCTTTCTGAGTGATCCAAAGATCTGTCGCATGGTTGGAAAGTCGTAGTGTGACGAAACAGTTTCGGCTCCGTTTCGGGACCACTATAGGGTTTTGTTATCTGCCCATTTGGGGAAATACTGTCGATGGTCGTTCTTCTTGGGGTGGGTCAAGCGAGTTGCTGATCTATCTATCTATCTATCTATCAGTCTATGTGGCTGTCGACGTAATTACCTCTCTGAGATTTATCTATCTATCTGACTATTTCTATAGGATCTGTTTTCAAGAATTGAAAAACCCAAGCTGGAAAAGAAAATCAGATCGTAAACGATTCCATGTGTAGATAAGTGG